CGTAGATAAGGACAGACGGAACGGATGCACGGTGCACGCGAACCTTCGTGGCCTGAACAAAATTTTACTGTCTGACAGTAAATGTCCGTGGGCATCGGGTGCTTTTACTCACCTTTTTCAGGATCCACCAAATGAAGACATTTGGCCCATCACCTCATATATTTCCCATAGCAGCCTACTTATTTCATAATAGTAAGTGTGTTTTTTAAATCAATATGACGTCGGCTGTGGTATTTACCACAACCGTACGACACAGTCCATCCACAGGCTTTGAACTAATGGCGCCCCGAAAGTAACTATTTTTTCGGTATTACAGATCAGGTGATCGGGTCGCTTCCTCTGACCTGATCGGTACTGAATTGCCTGCTTTTATTCCACGGCATTGTCTACCAATTTCGAAGCTCGGTGCCTGACAACTTTTTGAACAAGCACAAGTAATGGGATTCTGTTGATCTCACTCCGCTATTGATCACCACAAAGCACTTTCCTGACCGACTAACCAGGAGTGCTCGTCCTCTTTCCCCCTGCTTGCACTTACTCCCCTACGTGTGGGCTTTTTCGAAGCTCAGTGCCTAACAACGTTTTGGGCAAGTGATGAGATTCTGTTGATCGCATGCTGATATGCATTTCTACAAAGCACTTTCTTGACTGACTGACAAGGGATGCTAGTCATCTCTTCCTCTGCTTCCACTCACTTTCCGTTGATGTGCGCTGTTTGAATGCCCCATTTTTCTCTCTTCCCTTCCCACAGCGAGCTCCTCACCGACAAGCTGATTGAAAGTAAAGTTGAGGCGGCCGCAGTCATTGGAACTCTCTTCAGCGGTCCCTTTGAAGTTGGCTCCATGGTGTTGGCCAGGGAGGGCATACTTGAAGGCCTTCTCCTGCTTACTCAGGCCGAAAACATTTCCTATCAGGTAAGTTTGGGCGATAGGTTCGTTTTTCGTCACACATATTTTTTCGTAACTTGCGTCTGACTAACACCACCGGTTTGTCAAAAGTTGCTCGTAAACATTCTATTGTCCCTCCTGCCCCCGTGTTCCACCCGTTAATTTCCTTCAGTTGCATTCTTCCTAGGTGTTTGGGCTTCGGGATCCATGTCTCTCTGTCATCTTTGAAATTGCAGCTGTTTACTCTCCTCAGCTGACTTGGAGTAAATCAGTTTATTCTACGGCTTAAAGGCACAGACTGAAGGTTGATCAGAATATTGGCGTCAAAGTCCATCATCCACTGCAGGATAACCGCATAATATTCACAAGCTGTCAATAGGCAGTCAGTAGTATAAATTACGTAATTATTTATCACGTTTGTACTGGAACTAGCTAAACTCCCGGCACTTGTTTCGCCGTTATTCTGCCACTGCTCGGCGAAGCTAAGAGTATCGAATAATGGAACTAGATGGAGGGCCAGCCAAACTCATTGCCATGCTTAAGGCTTACTATCGCTCCACCACTGTACGAGTTCTGGTCTACAACAGTCTCTCTCAACTATTCGATATCCAGTCTGGTGTCCGACAGGGCTGCGTCCTGTCGCACATTCTGTTTAACTACGCCATTGACTGGATTCTCGGGAAGGCCGTACATGAAGAGGACGATGTTGAGCTGCATCCCTGACCAGAAGAAGGC